GAAAACACTCTACGCATATGTGCTGTATTACCCAAGTGAGTATTTCCATTGAGACATGAGTAAAGCTATTCATATGCTTCATATCTCAGTTTCAGTGAGATACTTGAACACTTTACTATACTAGCTCATAACCTCAGTTGAAAATAGTATTAGAAGTGGAAATATTCTGTTGAAGCTTTTCAGATTTGTCAAAAACTATTTGTGATTTTTGTGTTTGGATCTTTAAAAATATTGGAGAAATATTTAGGTAAAAATTAAATGGTTGGTTCTATTTTCACTGAAAAATTTCCTGGGATAGGTGAAGCATTATATCACACAAAGCTCTTTGTAGCACATGTTTATATGCTTTGCTGATCTTAGCCCAGACATTCCCAGATAGTGATTCAGAGAGACTTTTCTGTTCCAATTGTCTTCTTTCTCTTATCATGTCTATCTTCTTTTTTCTCTGTCTCTCTGTCTTTTTTTTTTTTTTAATGGTTAAATAGCATACAGCACTGGAGTAAAGTAAGTTTCAGGTGATTTTACATTTCAAGTTTAAATGTCCAGTGCAGAATTATACCACTGTGAAGATTTCCTTGCCAGGGATCTTAAAATTCTCTTTCCCATTCCTCATCTTCGCATTTCCTTATTTTAGTGCTCAGTCACAGAACATTTCTTTTTACTTTGTTTTTTCCATATTTCTGCCTAGTAAATGTCACATTTGCTGCATGTTTCCCACGGAGTAGAAATTAGCATGAGTGGCTGAACTGCAATTCTTATAATGTTTTATTATGCCAAAACACCAGGAAACCATATAAGTTCCCTAAAATCTCCGTGCCATTTTAATTGTAGATTGGCTACTGTAAGAAGACTGTAAATTCTGCATGTGGCAATGCACTTCCTCATCAATTTACTCATAAAATCACATATATTCAAGTACATCCTTACTCACACCTCCTAAAAGGCTGAAGAAAAATGAGAGGTTAAACTCTGCTCTCAGTGAGAATTACAATGGAATGACTCCACATTGAGGCTGCTGCAACTGTCCTTATTAAAATACAAAGAAAAGTTCACTTCGTAATTATGGTTTTGGGCTACATTTACACCACATCATGCAGCTCTTAGAGACCCTGTGCCAGCTCCAAGGAATATCAGCTTGGCTCTGCAAACCAGGACAGCTAATGCTGACCCGAGGGTGGGGGAGATGCAGAGTGCTACGAGTGTGGGTTTTCACAAGCTTTGGTGCCAGTTCTGGTACGGCTGCTTTGGAGGTCTCTGCACTGATGGACTGCAGGATCGTGAAATTTCTCCTCCAGACATGAGCATTTTTTGGCCAAAACACCAATGTGCTTATATACAATGTTTTCTACCTCATCATATCCAGCCTGGGCAGACAGTTCAGCAATGCTTTGAGCATCCATGCTCTACAGCCAGTTGATACCTACCAGGCAATCATGTTTTCCCCCTAGTTAGTCTTGTTATTTTGTTGTTTAAACCTTCCCTTTTATGTGATCTGGACATGAACAGACACAGTGGGTCTGAACCAAAGTATGCTCAGCTCAGCATGCCATCTCCTGCCATGGCCAGTAATGAATCCTTAGACAAAGAGGTCAAGAGCAGGACAAGCTCTTATTGCAGTAACTTCCCTGTTACCTTCTCGCAGCTTCCAATCTGCCTTAACAGCCAGTCCATATAGTGCTAACACAGCTTTGCGTTGTCACTGCCTGCAGAAATGACCACACTCTGCAAATCATCCAGGCTATTTGCCAACTGGTTTCCCCTAGGCCAGGACCAGATTAGCAACCGAACAGCACAAGAAAGTGAAATGAGATTGGGTAATGGAGGTCCTTCACAGGAATCTCAAGTGACCAGACCCAGCAAGTCTCTGAGATGAGAGTGCCTACAGCTTAGCGGGTATGAACTCTTCTGAACTGTGCTTTGCTGTTTGGAACATGGAATGACTGAATAAAATGCAAGACATTTCACATGACAAGAAAAATTCAGTTAAAAGAGCAAAAGAGGCCCAAACCAAACGTGCAGAACCAAACTCACCCAAATTACTACATTTCTGAAATCTGTATTTTGTAATTGATTTCCCCAAGTCACAGGATCTGAAAACCACTCCCAATTTTGTATTCAGAACATTGAACTGGTTTGTTCATCTTGGATCTTACTACCAAGTGCAACCTTAACCTTGCAGCCAAAAACTTGTGGCTGCTCTGGCTCTTGTTGTATTCTGATCTACTGCATAACATTGTAATTTTTATTCTTTCATCTTGCTTCTTCCTCCTTTGATGCTCACCATCTGCATCACTGCACACTAACCCTTTATCTCACAGAGGAAATATAGTTTATCAGAATGGGAGAAAAGTCATATAATGACAATAAAAAGAGTAATTACATTATCTTTTCAGAAGGTAATTGCCAAGAGTTATTCAATTTAATTTCTTTTCACATTTCTTTCTTTCCTCTAAAGTCTTTTCCTTGTGCAGCCATCACAGGAATATGCAATGCTCCTTACTCATGGATATTAAGTGTCTTCTAAACATTTATGCACAAAGACTGAGAACACAGCATTTTACAGTGTCATATAATATAATTAAGTAGAAATGGCAATAAACCGCCGATCTTCTGAATTCTGGTTCCTCAGTGAGAAACCAGTGAGGAACCACTAGGCCATAGCTGAGCAACATTTGAAAAAACAAAGAGGTCCAATCAATGAACAATTTAACACATAAAAACCTCTTGTAGTACAACACAATGATACTCTTGCCTTCAAGCCAGTAAACTGCTGAAAGAAGTTAGGTTGGTGGTTTAAAACATGTTCACACTTTGGCCCTTGAGAGAAACTGGAAATAAACATTATTTGCACTGTGCACCACTAAAAGATCCACCAGTCAGCTCAAAGGTTGCCTTGCCAACACTGCTGTGGGAGCAATTTTTGGTAATGGCGTCTTTGAGAAGAGCCATATGTGTGTATCAGACAGGAGCATTTTAGTGAGATGCAGCAGCACTTTAGGAAATAGTGATGGATGGCACTATGGGATGGAGAGAACATTGTGGGAGTGCAGGAGACAGATGGCCAGAGACCAAATGCTGCATGGGGTGATTTTACCTTTGGGTGGAGCTCTGCGGTTGGAAAGACCTTGCAATGTGAATCGCTTTCTAGCAAGCGCTGTGCGCTCAAGGTTAAGGCTGGTGGAAGCATCAACTAGGAGAGAGAGGGAGAGGGAAGAGAAATAAGGAAGGAAGGGTCAGCTGTTCAGCTTATGGGAAAGGAAAGGTTAGCACTGGATGACAACTTAAAATAAATAAATAAATTTTGATTCAGTTCAAGCCTGAGCAAGAGCTAATCAATTAGAAAGGTGACATGAGGTCAGAGTGATTAAACAGCTGAGCCAAACGGAGCCCCTGGGTTGAGTTTGGCTCACTGAGTTTTAATGGAGAACAAAAACAACAAAACAAAAACAAAGCAGAAGGTGAAGGGATGTAGCTCTCATCAAAGGAAAATACAGTTTAGCAGCAAGCTCATTACAAAGAATCTAGTGCCTTTTACTATGAAAACACATTATTGCGGTTGGCACATCAAGGTTGTAGGGAAATGCAGGACACGTACAGACAGCAAGTGTTGCGAGCCATCCCACTTCTGCTATCCAGTACCAATACTGAAGAGTCTGCCATGATGAGCCCTATGGTATGCTCTCAGCCCTACCTGCTGAAGTCAGTCTAACAGCCTCCAAAGCTAACATTTGATGTCATGATTTGCTGGGGTATAAGGAGTGCCATGCCACCAAAGCTTACATGCCAGGCTTCTACATGAATAAACCATCCGTGACACTTGACAGTCGCCTGAGGTAAGTCACAGATGGATTGGGCCATCCAGTCTCAAGGCCCTGGGTTTGAAAGATACTCAGTTACTTGCATTGCAGGAAGGAGGTGGACTGAGATCAAACCCCTAGATCCATGCATTCCTTCCAAATTCTGCATCTGCCCTTTTCGTCATGTGAGCAGGTAGCATGCAGAAGATTTATTGCAAAGGAGCAGGAGAAAAGCCACATGTTGGCTGCCTGGTTCTGTGCCTTAGGATTTAACCACTAGCTTTCTCCTCCTCTGTATTTCAAACACTCCCAAATGAAAATCATTAGAGGCACAAATGAAGACCAGAGGTACAATGGGAACATGGAGAGACAGTGAATCCACACTTGACAGACAAACAACAGACAGACAAGCTGTGCTTCCAAAGGAAAGTGCATCCCATCACTTCCTGATTTGCAGCCAAGATAATCCAGGATCCGAGGTGACTGCAAGCATAGGTGAGTGTGAGATGAACAGATTTTAACAATACAAAAGTATTATGATGGTGTGGTTCAGCTCCTTCCACCCGGTGGCCTGATGCCAGCTTTGGGCCATGCAGGTGCATCTGGTGAGAAGCAGCAGTTTCGGCTGTGGGGCTGTGCACATGTGCACTGGGAAGCGTTTTTGGCTTTCAGACTGCCTGTGTTGGCCTAAGAGCCATTCCCTGCCGTGGCTGCTCCCACTGCGAGGCAAACTTTGTAAAGATGCTGTAGCTTATAAAGAATCCAGGAACTGGTATATAAAACACACTACTTTCTGTTTGCATGGAGCAAGAAAATTCATAGTATTTCATTATCACAGAGTCATGCAGCAAGTACAATAGTGCATGTGTATAGGGGGAAGGTTTATATGCTAGTTCTTCAGCTATGCAATTATATCACTTCACTGAAGGACCCCTTAGGATTTCACAAGTCCCCACAGCTTTCCAGCATCAGACAATTATTAGAGATTGGTCTCTAATGACATGTCTCCACCTGAGTTATTTCAAACCTTCTCATTCATTCTGCAGTTATACCAAATAATCCTGGAAACCATTTCCAAACATAATAAGGACTAGGTCCTGATGGGCAACAGGTTGCACAGGAGCCTGCAATGCGCACTTATGGCAAAGGCAGCCAACAGCATCCTGGGCTGCGTTAGGCAGAGCCTTGCCAGCAGGTCCAGGAAGGTGATGCTTCCCTTCTACTGAGCCCAAGGTGAGACACATCTGGAGTGCTGTGACCTGTCCTGGGCTCCAAGAGAGACATGGACATATCACAGAATCACAGAATCACAGAAACACTAGGTTGGAAAGGACCTTCAAGATCATCAAGTCCAACCATTAATCCAGCGCCACCATGTCCCCTAGACCATGTCCTGAAGCGCCACATCCACACGTTTCTTGAACACTTCCAGAGATGGCGACTCCACCACCTCCCTGGGCAGCCTGTTCCAATGCCTGACCACCCTCTCAGTGAAGAAATTTTTCCTAATATCCAATCTAAACCTCCCCTGGCGCAACTTGAAGCCATTTCCTCTTGTCCTATCGCTAGTTACTTGGGAGAAGAGGCCAACACCCTCGTCGCCACAACCCCCTTTCAGGTAGTTGTAGAGAGCGATAAGGTCTCCTCTCAGCCTCCTCTTCTCCAGACTAAACAACCCCAGTTCCCTCAGCCGCTCCTCATAAGACTTGTGCTCCAGACCCCTCACCAGCTTCGTTGCCCTTCTCTGGACATACTTCAGTGAATCCAGTGAGAGGCCATGAAGATGATTAAGAGATTGCAGTAGCTTATGTGAGGAGAGAGTGAGAGACCTGGGATTGTTCAGCCTCTAGAAGAAAAGGCTCAGGGGGATCTTATCAATGTATATAGATTCCTGATGGGAGCAAGTAAAGAAGATGGAGGTAGACACTTCTCAGTGGAGCACAGTGACAGGATGAGAATCAAGGGCACACATTGAAATATGGGAAATTCCGTTTAAAAATATGAAAAAAACTTTTTTACTGTGAAGGTGGTTAAAGCCTGGGACAGCGTCCCGAAGGAGGTTGTGGAGTCTCCATTCTCGGAGATATTCAGAACCCACCTGGATACAGCCCTGAGCAACTTGCTCCAGCTGACCCTGCTTTGAGCAGGGCAGTTCGATTAGGGAGTCTCCAGAGGTTCCTGCAGGACTCAGCTCCCATATGGCTTCAAGCCAGTGACTCTACCAATCAGGTCCACACAAAACACTGTTTTATATGTAGATAACTCAACCACACACACTCATCCATAAGAATAACGAAACTGAACTATCTTGCTAATAGTGTTCCCCCCACTCTGTACTATCGAAAGAAAACTGTGCTTTAAAATCATGTGTTCAGATTAACTGCATAGCTATTGGGAGTATTAGAGTCAGTAGGTGGCACAAAAGAGACAGTTTTGGCAGAGCACTAACCTCCATGCTGCATGTGAACCGCAGCCCGTGCCCTCCTCTGCGCCCCGCAGCACCATTCCCCTGCGCCTTTGGAAGCAGGACCCAACTGTACATGTTTCAGGTGAGTTCAGCCCCTGCGGAGTCGCAGCTAGAGGTGCCTCACCGGGACACAAAGTGTCGGTGGGACATCTGGACCCGGAGAGCTCTTCCGCGGGCGCGCTACGGAGCGCGTTTTGCCAGCCCAGGGTGCGCACGCGCACCCAGAACCCGCGGAGCGGTGACGCGCTGGCCGGCCCAGCGGGAG